TTATTTATTTATTTATTTATTTATTTATTTATTTATTTTGGTTTTTCGAGACAGGGTTTCTCTGTGTAGCTTTGCACCTTTCCTGGAACTCACTTTGGAGACCAGCCTGGCTTCGAACTCACAGAGATCCGCTTGCCTCTGCCTCCCGAGTGCTGGGATTAAAGGCGTGTGCCATCACCGCCCGGCCAAGTTTTTTTTTTTTTTTTAAGAGCAGGTATTTTTGCTTATGTAAATTCTAGAAGCCAACAAAACTGTTAACTGTTGAAGAAGAACCTACTGGAAGAAACCACTAGTGCTAGTATCCTTGATCCCAGTGAGGTTAGACATGAAGGTGTGAATTACATGAAGAGTCATCAACTATACAATTATGACTTACGTGTTTTATTCTATGCGTGTACATTTTAAAATCCAAAACAAAGATGTTTGCAAGAAAAGCAGAAAGAGAAATGGCGTTGTAGTCAGTCAGAGCTGGTAATGTAATGAGAAGGCAGAATGACTTTTGCAGTGCTTTCCTCAGAGACTGGCTCATTGAGCGAAGACAACAGATATGAAGTGCCTCAGCAAACTCAACCTCAGAGTCAGTAACTTACCAGTGCACGCAAGTCCTGGAGGCCAGTGCTTCCTAAGTGTTAGCATATATGTGTTATAATTGGGATCTTGAAAAAATATGTAGGTTAGAATTCTGTATGAATAGAGTGAAGCCTGAAAGCTTTTTGTTTGTTTGTTTTGTTTTATTTTTCAAGACAGGGTTTCTCTGTGTAGCTTTGCGCCTTTCGTGGGTCTCGCTCTATAGACCAGGCTGGCCTTGAACTCACAGAGATCCTCCTGCCTCTGCCTCTGGAGTGCTGGGATTAAAGGCATGTGCCACCACCGCCCAGCTGAAGTCTGAAAGCTTTTTAAAAGCTTCTGGATAATCCCATTGCTTGTCAATGAACCATAATTTGGGGATGAATGGGGAAGCGTGAGATGAATGGATTGTATCCCAGGGAAAAGGTTTTGATCAAATCCACATTTTTTTGTTTTGTTTTGTACAGATTTTATTTTTTATTTTTTCATTTTTCTTTATTAGGAAATTTTCTACTCACTCTACCACCCACAGATCCCCCCTCCTTTCTCCTCCCACCCTCTCACCCTCCCTCCTAAGCCACCCCACATCTCCACATCCCCCATGGGGAGTCAGCAGAGTCCGGCACACTGAGCCTAGGCAGGTCCAAGCCCCTCCCCATTGCACCAAGGCTGCACAAGGCGTCAGACCACAGGCACCGGGTTCCCAATGGCCTGCCCATGCACCAAGGACGGATCCTGATCCCCCTGTCTGGGTGCCCCCCCCCCAAACAGTTTGAGCCAAACAACCGTTTTCTGACCAGTCACACTAGTGGAAGTCCATGAAGTGGCTGTGTGGAGTTCGCATGAGACTAGACTAGGCCCTCTGGATATGGAAGACGGTTGTTTGGCAAATCCACATTTTAAAGGTACTCTTTGCTAGCAATTTAAAACTTAGACAACACGGTGGGGTGGGAGGAATGAAAGTTCCAACCTTATGTATCTGAGACAGAAAAAAGGAAGGGGGATGGAAAACGAGGAAAGAAAAACATTTTACAGAGCCATCAATACCCAGGGAGGGCATTCCTGAGCTTTGGGAATGACGGATCAAAGTTATCCAAGACAGCTTGAGGGTTCTAGCTTCAGCCAACACATAGGTAAATAAATGTTAATGTTCATTATTTTATCAGGCCTTTTGATCAAAAATGAGCTTAGGAGGAATGGATGTTATTAAGCAAAACTGATTTTTGTTTTGTTTGTTTCTGATTTGTGTTTTGCTTAGAGGTTATACTGGCAGAGAAGGACCTTAGAGGAAGAAGTAGGGTGGATGGTCTCAGAATAAACACATCAAAGTAGAAGACGTAGGATGAAGGGTTATCTAAGTCAGCATTGCCGCAGTAGCAAATAAGCCCCTAAACCTCAGAGGCTTTCAGTAAGATTTGTGTTCAGGCCTGCCTCTGCTTGCCTCTGCTCTGGATCAAGAGCACATTCTGCTCAGTACAGGGAGCTGCAAGAAACCACTTGCTGTGGATCTTAAACTTTTGCAAAGATTCATGCAATGTCTGTTCTCCAGCGTTTCTAAACCAACACATAAAAACAGCCTGATACAAGCGGACTGCCCCACCACAGGTCATAGTTTCATAAACAGGAATATAATCCTTTCACAGGGAGAAAAAGGGACAAGGTAAAAGACTAATGTTGCCCCTCCCCTGCCCAGGGATGTACCAGCGCAAACATTTCTAGTTCCCATGTGTCCCTTCTGTGCTTACGACCAGTCCAAGGTCTAAATTTATTTATATTTTCATTTTAATTCAACATTCTCAGCATAAAATCTTTCATTAACACGAGGCAAAAATGGACAGATTTTAATTTCCTGTCTTAGTGAGTATTTAAATGTTCAAAAGCCTACAGGGAGAGGTGAGGGGACGTGGGGGAAAAGCCAAAAGCCTTCTTCTGATCTTTTCTACATTCAGCCAATATCTGAGGGGGTCACTGAGCCATTATGCCATCCCTCTCCTTAATCACCTTCCCATATCCTGTTGATGAAGGAGTGAAGACCTGGTCTGTTTCCATTTGGAGGGGTGATCCTAAATATTCGAGATTGCTGTATCTTAAAAGATACCTAATGTAATCCATGTAGTCCAAAAATGATCTTAAAATTTCAAACCTTCCAGAATGTTCTCTGCCAATGTCCAATAGATTAATAAGCTGAATACTAATTGTGTCAAGAAAAGAATAAGGTTTGTTTGTTTGTTTGCCCAAATTATCTGGATATCCCACATGAAATAATTGACATAAATTTAATTACTTGAAAACTGATATCGGTGCTTTCCATTTCCATTTTAAAACACTCTTTGTATATGACTAAAAGATGGCCTCTGAAGAATTTGCTTTTCAGACCTGGGATAAAGCTATGGACATGCATATCATATTTCTTTCTTTTTCAATCACTGTTCTCACAGGACAAGAGAATGACTCAACCAAGAGTGAAGTAAAAATTGAGACAGAGTCCCCAAGCTCATCTATGGAGACAGAAGGTACTGAAGCCAGAATATATTGATATAAGTGTCAGCAAGAATGAGATGAAATTGTGAACCATGACTTCTCTAAAAAGAGTGTGTGTGTGTGTGTGAGAGAGAGAGAGAGAGAGAGAGAGAGAGAGTCTGTGAATGTGTGGGAGTATATGTGAATCTGTGTGTGAGTACATGTATGTGTGTGTATGTGTGAGTATGTGAACTCTGTGTGTGTATATGAGCTCTCTGTGTGTGTGCACACACTGGTGGATGGAGAGCCAGCATCTAGCTTTGTATAAGTCTTGAATCTTGGAAGGTCACAGAGAGACTTTCTGCTCTGCAGCCACTGTGTTTTCTCAAAAATTCCAACTTAAACATCCTTGAGTCTCCTGTGTCTTTACATTTAGAGCTTTCATCAAACCAAGAAGATGCCACAATTGTGGAGCAACCAGAGGTGATTCCCCTGACAGATGACCAAGAGGAGCAGGAAGGTGGAGAAGGTAGGATCCTCTTAAATTAACCCATCACAAATAGAGAGGTTTTGTGGGCGCCTTCTTGCAAGCCAACTACCAAAGCTGTCTTTCACAGCTGCAGCCAGAAAAGGGAGAAACAAACTTATCTGTAACCTTGAACCTGTTTTTGAAACTAGAGTAAAATCCAGAAGTAACCAAAGGTATTACTGACAACACTTCTCTCCTTCCAAATAGAATGACAATGTACTTGCTATTCATTTAGATTTTGTTTAAAAATTTAAATCTCTAGCACTGAGAAAGTCTGTAAGAAATCAAAATCATGAGATAGAGAAATGGAGTCCGAGGAAAAATGAACAAATAGATAAAAGCTTTTGCACTGATTTCATCCTGCCTTCCTTTGCATGGTGATGATTAAAGAAACACGTAAAAGTGCTTATCCTCTGAAGCTGCTAAATTGCAAACCTTGTCTGCTAATCTTAGAATAGAATAACATTGAATCCTAGTTAAGAAGTAAACTAGGTCATAATGATTTTTGCCATGATAAATGGTAGAAATAATTTATAAATAATAAAATATTGGTCAAAAGAAGATTGTATTAAAGAAAAATTTTATTAAAATATCAGGGTAACTTAGCATTTACAGAAGAATCGGAAGACTCCAATTCTTAAAAATCTCTTTAAGAGGTTCATGAAATAATTTATTACAACATCTCATAAGTCATAGTGCTCTTAAATAAGTAGATATTTGCAATAGTAGTCACAGCATCATCACTTGGTGGACCTTGTTTGTGGAACACTGTGATCAATTTTCCTTCCAAATTAAAGCACAGACATGATCTCAATTGTAAAATCAGGTCAATTGCAAATACAGCTTTCAAGTTATGAACACCTCTTGGCAGGAGCATTGATGTCATTTAATTGCTGAGCTACAGGAGTGATTTTGACACTTAAAATCCACTCTATTATCTCACCACATTCTTCCTCTGTGTCTTTGCTATGTTCTTCTCAATTTGGAATCAGGGTTCAGCCTCATGACACCATGCTTGTGGCAAGTCAAATGAATGGCATGCCTTGAGTAGTTTATCTAATAGTGATAAGAGAAAAATCAATGCAACCTTCACTCAGATTGAGATGTATAATATGGTAGAAAGCTAGGTATATGAACCTCCCAACCTTTCAATTCTACCACTAAAACAAAACAGACACAATGCATGCCCACTTGCCTAATGTTTCTGTTGAGGACATTATTTGTTCTCATACAGTACCTGAAAATGCAAATGGATTAAAGAACCTCAAACAACTTGTACATTCTCTTCTTTGTAGTTTGACCTATAGCAGAATCCAACCTTTGCCACGAAGTCTCCTACTATGAGCCTTTTTTGTAATGATCAGAAAGTTAGGGGTTCACTTTCCTCTCTTCTTTGTAGGTAGCCAACCCTCTTCTGTCAATTTTGGAACAATATGTGGGAAGCCAAAGGCAAATCATATTCTACATTTGTAGCAACTTTCTTTGAGTCTTTACATTAAAAGAGCAGCACCTGTGGGCTTGAATTAACCATCTTTTCCCTTCCTGTCTATCACAGATATTTATATGCCATACCTTGGACATTCTAGAGTTTAAATTGAAAATACTTGTAATGTGTTACCTCTGTTATCTTATTCTTTGTATCAGCAGAAAAGTGGAAAGTTATTCTGTTACATATAAGAAAAATGCTTATGTTGTACTTATGTTGCTAATAATAATACAGACTGGGTAAATTATAAAGAAAAGGCTCATTTGGGCTCATATTTCTGAAGATATAAGGTCAAAGGCCTGTATCTGGTGATGGTCTTCTACCTGGCAATGTCCTGAGACAATGCAGGCATAACATGGAGACACGGGGATTATATGTGCATTTTATGTATGCATGTATGTGTGAGTTTGTATGTATGGCTATGTGTGTATAGGTGTTCACATGCTCATATATGCATGCCTACTCTCTCCCTTTTCTTATAAAGTCATTAGGATTCAATTACAGAAGATTCAGCCTAATGACCTTGACCCACTTTTAAAAAACACAATCAGATTAAATTTCCATCCATTTAAATTCCAACAATGGGGATTGAATTTCAACATGTAGCACCTTAGGAAACACCCAAACCATAGTAGCGCCCAAAAGAAAGGAAGATCAAGTAAACTAGTTTACTAGTAAAACTAGTAAACCCTGCTGAGGCACTTCCACATCAATGACAACTGGGTGACATTGACGAGTTATTTAACTTATCTGCATCAGCGTCCTCATCTTTATGACAGTGATGGCCAAAGTAGCTGACCCACCATTTACAATGAACATATAACCAATAGCACGTGTCAAACAATTGCAGAAAGACATGGCACATAAAGTATTTAATGTTTAGCCCAATTTGACAAATTGATGATAAAGTCGAGAGACTCCATAAGGAAGTTCTCCAAGGCCATCCATTGCTTTCCACACTATTGGAATCCATGAAAGTTTCACATGTACTACTACCTTCAGCAACAAATAATCACTCACATTTGATTAACAAAACCACACTATAAAGGTAGTAGAATATGGCTGTATACTGTTTACCTGATGATTTATTTTGTCCTATGGAAATGCAACTTTTAATGGATGATAGGGTACAAGAGTTCTCTCACCTATAAACTGGCTTTTCTTTCTTAGGATCTCAACCTTGTGTCTCAGAAATAAGAATAAAACCATGATTGCTGGTTTTCTGTTTTGTTTTGTTTTTTAAAGCAAGATACAATTGAACTATTGGTAGTTCCCCTAAGGAGGTCAGTGAGTAAATTCAAGGTGCTTACATTTATTTTGCTTCCTTTAGATTCAAATAGTTATTAAGAAGTCTGGTGTGAAAATATTTTAAGACTCTATCTCCATCTTTTGTGCAAATTATTGAAGATATCTTTTAGGGGGAGATATGCATATATATTAAGAATTAAATATGAACAAAACAAATTAATGCCCTATACTACTTGTAGAAAATCATCTTTGTAGTTCAGAAAACATTCTCTTTTAAAATAAGAATCTTTCTACTGAGGCAGACAGTGGTTCCTTTAAGAAACACATTTCCATACCAGGAAAAAAAATGTGCAACATCTTTCATTCACTTTGCAGTATTTTATAGGATTAGAAAATGTAGATAATCTTCAGGACGCATCTTCTATGGCTCCCAGGTGTATGAGCACAGATGTTGCAACATTAAGTTTTGAAGTAAGCTCTACCAAAATATGGATTTTTAAAAGAAAGAAAATATTCAGCAGACGTTCATGCTGATAAAATTACACAATAGTGCAATGGACATCTCCCTGGGAGACCTGAACGACAAAATTTTCAACAGGCAGAAAGTGAGGTTTCACATATGGTGGCTCTCCTCATACACCCATATCGCCTCCTCCTAAATGAGGCCAGGTTTATGCTTTCCCAGCAGGATCTACAATGCATTAAAAATTTAGAAAAATAGCATCCTTTAGGTTAATAACTAAATAGAAGGCAGATATAGGAGATGCTTGCTAAAATGGATCTCATATTTGTATAAAATTTCATAAGAATTTTACTCCTCATCAAATTTAGAAGTTTTTGTCATAAAATTTCAATGATAACCAACATTGTATCATTATTAAAGCCAAAATTTTCTATTTGTATTTAGTATACATGTTAGACGCTTTGTTCAAGGTTTACCCAGAGTGCAGACATTTGCTCTCAATTATTTTTCTTAGAACAATTAATCAGTACAATGTGAAACAGCTACACTTTAACTGTTTATTTAAGGTAGACCAGAATTGTTTGGGAACTTCAAGTGTACTATATCCTTAGGACTTCTTGGAGAAAAATGCATATGGACAGAAATGCAGGTAAAATGCTGAGTTTGAGCCTGTCATGAGCATGAATTTTTTGTTTTAATGTTCACACTTTTCAAATGGCCAACAGGACCATGAAGCACATGCAGGAGCTGTGCCATGTGTCCCGACTGCGTGATTGCTGGCAAATCTTTTAACATCCAAGCATCGCCATTTCTAAGGTAGTAATCAGAGACATGGCCTCAATAATAAAATTGTAAGGTGTCAATTTATAAAATTTTCAGAGAAGGCCAACTCTGAAGGACATATCCTTGAGGGAAAATGTCTGATAACATTGGAAGTGATCGTCAACCATACACTTAACACCGAAATAGTGTGATTTCTCTAGTTTTACTTATTTCAGTCTGTTGGTAAAAAATGCAGATGCTCGGGCTGGAGAGATGGCTCAGAGATTAAGAGCACTGGCTGTTCTTCCAAAGGTCCTGAGTTCAATTCCCAGCAACCACATGGTGGTTCACAACCATCTGTAATGAGATCTACTGCCCTCTTCTGGCCTGCCGGCATACATGCAAACAAAACACTGTATACATAAATAAATAAATCTTAAAAAAAAAAAAAATGTAGATGCTCCTTGGCCATTCACAAAGGTGGCCAGAATATTCATATTTTACATTAGGACCCGTTAAGAACTGGATATCTAACTTTCCTAAAAAGTTACATAAGTGAAGAGGAATGCCACTCTGATCAACTTCAGTTTACACAAATGGCCGGAACCACCCTTTTCATCATCATCCTTATTTTAATATGCATGGGAACATTCTTCCTGGCAGCTCCTCTAGCCACTGTTTCATATTTCAGTAAATATAGAGTAAGCCAAGCACTTATTCTTCTGCTGCTTACTAGCCTGCCTTATTAGAGGTTTATCTTTGTCTGTAGGGCACCAGTTCTCTAATATTGGTGTTTTCTGTTATTGATGGAATCCCCACGGGGTGACTACACTGTTTTGCCTTTTCTTGGAAAGTACTACCTGGACCAGCAATGGAGCCTCATGTCAGATCACTAACACCAGGGCTTCCATAGCTAGCCTGTGCTGTGCTAATGATACCCAAGGTGGTCAGATTATCTTTTGACTTGTGAAAAGCATTACATAAAATTGAATAATAAATCCTGCTCAGAACTGGCCTGGGTTTCTGTCACTGTGTTGCATC